CTTAGGGAATGCTTTGACAAGTGTATGTACGAAAATCCATCAAAACTGCATTGTTACTACCTAATCAATTTGTCAATTTCCAAAAATTACTAAAACCTCTAGGCATAGTGTCAATTATCCTTTCCCACTCCTACTGCCAAGCAGTTGCTCGGCTGCTGATGGCTGCAAAAACGTAGAAGTGGTACAGTGTCTGTATGACTTCAGAAGTAAGGAGGTAACACTCAGTACAGTCATCTCTACCTACCCAGATACCTATTAACCAAAATAAATAAATAAACTACTGCTGTCGAGTCGGATCCAACTCATAGCAACCCCTCCTTTGGTTTCCGAGGCAGTATCACTACGGAAGTAGATCGCCCAACCTTCCTTCTGAGGAGTGGCTGGTGGGTTTGAACCACCAGTCTTCTGGTTAGCAGTCAAGTGCCTTAGGCGCTATACCACCAGAGCTTCCCAGACCTAAGAAATGCTATTTGAGTTTTTTAAAAAAAAAAAAAAGGTGGGGGGGGGGCGTGCAAAAGACAAATCCTTGAGGGCTGAGAAAGGTTATGTAGCACCCTGGAATGGTTGGTGGGCTAGCTTTACTTTATCACACTTATTGCTGCATTACAGAGAAACAGACACCATCTATCAGGGTCTGCTACAATGAAACAATCTATGTAACAGCAAGGTGCTTTCTAACAGGATTTTACTGTATTACAGAACCAACACACCAACACTACTGTTGGGATACAAAAGAAAAACAATTTGCTTAAAAAGGAGTTTCCCAAAAGATGATATGCCAGGTGGATTTTAGGTGGCACAGCATTTGATTACAGTGATGCAAGGACGTGACATGAAATGATGTCACATTCCACAGTAGAGATCAGTCCACCATTACTGAACATTTTGATCAAAGATTCTATAGAAGAATACTGAGTAAAAGGGAGGAAATGCAGAACAGAATTTCAAATTCTCACAGATGCCAGATGCGTTTGGAGCCATGGGGCTGGATGAACCCCTGAAACTACTGCCCTGAGATAATCTTTAAACCTTAAACCAAAAATATCCTCTGCAGTCTTCTTAAAACCAAACACTACTTTAACTTTACTAGTGAACTATGTCTCCCATGAGCATCGTGCTCTTTTAAGAACTTCTTATATGAGATCAAACTGACCACAAACCAAAACCAAACGCACTGCCGCAGAGTTGGACCCAACTCATAGCAACCCCTCCTTGAGTTTCCGAGGCAGTATCGCTACAGAAGTAGATAGCCCAACCTTGCTTCCAAGGAGTGGCTTGTGGGTTTGAACTGCCAGCCTTCTGGTTAGCAGTCAAATGCCTCAGGCACTACGCAACCAGAGCTCCCAAACTGACCACAGCAACTCAAAAGGTCCAACAGGAACCTTAAGGG